GTCATGGGACCAAGGCCCACAGCAAGCACCCGCCTCAGGGAGGCCCAGCCCCTCCTGAACGCACACCTGATTAGGTCAGGCCCACCAGGATACCTCTCACGGGTGTTATGTTGTTTTTTTTTTTTTTAACAAACCAATTTAGGACTCCTAAGGTTTGCAGAACCCTTTCCAGAGTCGTGCCTGTACTCAAAGGGAGGCCTAGGAACTGGGGTCACAGGTCATCCTTGGTTTCAATCAGACCACCCTTCTGTTGTCTCCTGGGGCCTAGTCAGCACCACAGGCCCCATGGGCCAAGCAAAGTCCCAGACTCCATGCCTCAACCTGAGCTGATTCCAGGTCTCTGTGCCTCTCCTGGAGCAGCCCTGCCTCACTCCAACCACCTCGGAGCAGCAGCCCTCCCCGCATTCACCGCAGCACCATCCCACGTGGAAAAGAGGTCCCTTTATTTGAGTACAAAAAGCACGCTGGCCTGAGAGTGAAGGCGTCCTGCTCCGCCCGGAAGCATCGGCCAGAGCCTGCCCCAGCGGCAGGAGAATTCACAGTGGCTCCGGGAGGCGCGGCCCCCCACGTCCTTCACAGCATCGTCTAGCTACGTACATTCAGTCTGCACAGGGCAGAAGGGGTACACCAGCCTCAGAGGCCCCGGATGGATGGACCCGAGGGGCTGGCTGCAGCTTCTAGGAGTGGACACTTGTCCCCCGGTAGCAGCATGGGGCACCCAATAGGTGCCAGACCAGTCCAGGTCGGGGGTGGCGTGTTCCCGGGTTGTTTTTCCAACCTGCCCCTGCCCACCCCCACCAATCTTGGACTTTCGAAGTCTTTAAGCCAAGCACCTGCAGCAGGAAATCCAGGCTTGACCAAGAAACCCAGGGTGCGGAGAGGATGGGGAGGTCTTCTTCCAGACTCAGGCCTTCAAGCCACCCAGCTTGAACCTGGCCTCCTCAGATATGCCGAACTGCTCCAGGGGGTCCTGTGTGGGTGAAGGGACAGCATGAGCCCAGGCCCCTGAGGGCCCTGCCCCGCCCCCATGCCCGGCTCCCACCCCTGGCCCCCAGACCCTCCGTGCACCTTGCCAGTCATCTTCTGGATCTCGTTTCTGTAGAATATGAGGCTTCTCCGCATGAACTCGTAGCTGGGAGAGCAAGTGGCACGTGTTCACAGAGCCCTGCTGTGCTCCCGCCCCAGGCCCCCCCCCGGCAGGCCCACACCCCACCTGGCTCGCCGCAGAGCCCCCATCCACTCCTGACACTGCTCCTCACTGCAGCAGGCAAAGTGATACTTCCTCTCAGGGTCCTCCAGGAAGCCTGCAGAGGGAGCAGCCCCCGTCCGTTCCCGCTCACTGCCCCGCCCCACCCCACCCAGAGCCCGCCACAGGCCTCAGCTTCCTGTTGCCTCTGTCCAAGTGTCCCCTCCTCCAGTCCAAGGCCAGGCTCATCCCTTCCCACCAGCCGTGCTGGGATCTGAACTGTGTCCTCAAGTCCGTACGTTCAAGTCCTAACCCCTAGATCCTAAAAATGCGGCCCTACCTGCATACAGGACGATTACCGATACGACTACTCAGAGAAGATCAACTGGGAGCAGGTGGGCACCAACCCTGATCCCACCAGGAACGATTCAACAAAGGCAAAGAGCCCCTTGGACTGCCGGCGGCCCCCAGGAGCCAGGATGGCCTGGGGAAGCGTCCCCTGGCTAGGAACCACCCCTGCAGACACCCTGTTGGAGGACTTGTGCCCTCCCGGACGGGGCGAGCACACGTTTCTCTCGTTTGAGCGCCACACCAGAAAATCGGCCGACTCCGCCGCTCTCAAGACGACCCCGGGGGGATCCTCCGCAGGACCCCAGACAGTGCAGTGCTTCCCAGCAAGAGAGACCGTCCTAGAGGAACTGCGGCTGCAGCTAGAAAGGGGTTGCGCCCCAGAGGAAGAGCCGGGCCCGCCCTCCGGCCGCCCGAGGCAGTGGACTTCGCTCCAGGCCGACGGACGCCGCCGCGGGGCCCGGGAGGGGAAGGGCAGGGCCGGGCACTCACTGATGGAGAAGCCGCTGGGCTCCTCCTGGGTGACTCTGCAGCGCTCCAGCAGCAGGGCTCCGACGGGCTGCGGGCAGACGGGACGAGGGCGTGGGTGGGGACGGGCCTCCGCGGGGACCCCGACACGCCCCGCCCCCGGGCCCCAGCTCAGCCCCGCCCCCCGCGCCGACCCGGACCCCGACCGGAACCCCGCCCCGCCCCGCCGGCCCGCGACCCGGCCCCGCCCCCCGCTGGGCCACGGCCCCCGGCCCCGACCCTCGGCTCCGGACCCCCGCCCGCCGGCCCACCTCGGCCTCGTCCGTCCGGAAGTAGAAGAGGAAGTTGACCACCAGCTTCACAAGCCGCCTTTTCAGCACTGCGGGCACAGAGCGGGCTCATTCGGGCTCGCGGCCGCCCAGCCCCCCCGGCCCGCCCGGCCCGCCCGGCTCGGCGCCCCGGCCCGCTCACCGCTGCCTTTCTTGGGACCCCGCATGCCCAGCTCGGCCGCCAGCTCGGCCGGCTGCCGGGACAGCGCCTGCAGCTCCTTCTCGTTGTAGCGCATGGCGCCGCCGAGACCTACACCGCGGAGCGCGAACCGCGCCCTCCCGGCCGCCGTCCCCACTCGCGCCAAAAAGGTCGCACAGCGCCGTCCCGGAAGCGCTGCCGGAGCCACTGCGCTTGCGCGCCCCCGAGCCACGCATTCTGCGGGTCGCCAACTAGCGGCGCTGGTGTCCGGGGTTGGGGGGGGGGGGTCCTCGGCGCTACGCGAAGCCCGCGTGGGGCGCACGCCATACTAGACGACACGCAAGATCCTCGTAGATAAGCATGAAATAAGCTGGATCCGGGGTGGGAACAGAGGAAGGTCCCCTCACGATTGGTGGCGCCCTTTACCGACGAGTGGGAGCCGGTGAGACCTGACCCCGCGCGTTAGGCGTTGAGGGCCTGGTGCGCACGCGCACTTCGAGTTCGGCGCTCATCAGCCCCGCCCCCTTTCCTCGCGCCTCCGGCGCTTCAGGCAGAGCGAGCATGCGCACACGGGAGACCGTCCCCCCCACCCCCAGCCCGTTGGCCCCCGGAAGTGCTTACCTAGCGCGCGGGGCGCGTGCGCATAACGTATTCGTGGCTGCGGCGGGCGCCGAGAGGGAAGCAGCGCGGGGTGAGGAGAGGCGCGGGCTGGGGGCGGCGGCCCCGGGGCTCTGGCTTCCCGGGACCGCAGCGGACTTGGGTTGAGAGGCCGGCGGGGTCGGGCCGGGGGCGCGGCGCGCGGGAGCCGCGGGGCCCGCCACTGGGCCGCACCGCTTCGCCGCGCTCGCTCCTCCCCTCTGCGCCGCGAGCTGGTGGGGGGCTGGGCCGCGGCGGGTGGGCCTCGGGCGGGCGGGCGGATTCGCGCTGGTGCTCGCGCCGGTGTTGGCGCCCCGGCGGGGGTCCCGCGTGCGCTGCTCTGCCGCCGCCCCGCCCGCGCCGAGCCTGTCGGCGTCGCTCCTCGGTTGGCCCGGGGTGGGGGGTTGGTCTCCCTGGCCGCTCTCCGCACCCGCCGTCCCGGCCGCTGTGTACCCCTGCTCAGCTGCGTTGGGAGGATCTTGTTACGGAGAGAGCGAGAGCGGGAGGGAGGACAGCTGCGGGCCGAGCGGGGAGCCGCGCGCGGGGCTCGACCCCGGGCCCGGGACCATGGCTGAGGGCCCCCCCCCGGCGCCCCGCACTTTTCATCGTCGGGAACAGATCGATGGCTTCCTGGGTCTCTTGTCCCCGCCGTCGCCGCAGACGCCCCCGCAGGGGCCTCAGCTCGGGTTGCAGGGGGCAGCCTACCCGCCTCCCGGAGCCATTCGTGCGCTCCCGAGTCTGCTTCTGTGCTCAACGGGCCGTCCAGCGGTGCCCCCGGCGGCTGTTGGGGTCGGGGACTGACTTCGCGGCTTGGTTTCCTGTGCCCCTGCAGCACCGAGGTCGGGCGGAACCGCCGTGAAACTGGCAAAGGGGTGCGCGGCCCGCGGAACGCTGGGGAGAAGTCGGACTCCCTCTAGGCTGCCCGCTCCTTGCTCCTGGTGGTTTTCTTTCTTGTTAGAAACGGGGAGTTTCCCGGTGTGGTGAGCTCCCCTGCTTGTTCCGTTGGCGGGACCACATCTCTCAGCAAGGAGATGGCTCAGCTCCGCGCTGTGACCCTGTGGGGGGACGCTCCCGGGTTTCTGGATGCTTCCACGCTTCTTGCTGTTCCTGCTCTGAAATCTCATCTGGGTTCTGTTCTGCCTTTTGTTTCCCGGTTTTGTTCTCCTTCCGGAAAGGCTTGTTGGACTCGGACCCCAGCCCTCACGCTGGGCTCTCGTCGGGTCCTGTCTTCCCTTCCCAAGGGTTTTCGTCCCGGGTTTAACTGGCCGTGCTGACCTCTGGCTGCCGTTCCGCTTCGCGGCTGTAACTTGCCCCGTTGAGGGGGGGTACGTGGAATTGTGCGTGTCTGCGTGCGAGGTCCCAGCGTCTCAGTGAGCCCGGGAAGACGCGGGGAAGACGCCGACCCCAGCCGTGCGTGTCTGGTGTCTGAGCGAACCGCCTCTGGCGCTCTTGCTGTGCCCCTGGGCTGGGCTGTAGGCCTCCAGCTGGACCTTCTGGGCAGGGCGTGGGGGAATGGCAGGTTTTGATGGAATTCCCTCTTTCCAGCCTCACCCTCCTTCCACTCCCCGACTCTGACTCCCTCCCACTGCCCCTGCCTCTGTGAGTGGAGTGGCCCTTTGTTCTGGTTCTTCTGAGAGTGAGACCGGCCTGCCCACGCAGCTGCTCGCGGGCGCTTGGGCTCCCCTGGGGGGACGGGGCTGCTGTGGGCAGTGGGCTGCGAGCAGCTGGCAGCGTACTGGGCTCCCTCTAACTGAGTTGCCAGTTCATTGTTGTTGCTGTTCCGTCTCCCTGAGCCCGTCACTCCCTGCACTGGCCCTGGTGCCTGTCCCCAGCATGCGAGGGGTGTCCCGCTGCTCAGGAAGGAACTGGGCTCCTGGCCACACGGGGGGGGGGGGGGCTCTTGGCTTTGTTACAATTGTCGATTGTCGCCTTCCCAGTCGCACCTGCACTCCTGCAGGGCCCGTGGGGTGTCTGGAGTCGCCAGTACAGTAGGGGATGGGAAGTGAGGGCACGCCTCTGTCGCGGCCTCTGGAGCTGTCCGTCCCCCCGCCCCCCAGCCCGGCTGAACCGGGGAGCATGCGCTACCTTTGTCTTCCTTCTGGGAACTGCCTCCTTGGTCCGCGAGGAGGTGTCGCTGGCGACGCTGTGCGGGCCTTTGTCCACCTGTCGGCTGGCTGCCGACTCGATCCGCGCGCTCTCGCGCCCCCAGAAGCGCTCAGTTTCCGCTGTTCAGGCCAGTGCCCTCCGTAACGGCCTTGAGACAGGGGTGTCGTCTCCACAGAGGTCTGTAAGTCACTCGGACCTGTGGGCAGGAGACCTCCCAGGCCCCTGACCCTACTGGCGGAGGCGAGGGGGCCGGTGCTGTCCCTGTCCCTCTCCCGCGGCAGCTTCCGTCACTTCACCTGGAAACCGCACCTCCTGCAGGTTGGATGCTCGGCCTCCCCCGACGAGCCCGTGGCCGAGTCTGGCGGCGGGACCGCGGCGCCCTGGGGGATGCATGGGTGTGCCTGGCCGGGACCCCCAGGTGTAGAGTCTCCTCCTCTCAGGACGCGGCGTTCTCTCCCCGGAGGGCTCGTCCGGTTGCTGGTGCTAGTCTCCCGCTGTCTCCGAGATGAGCGCTAGACGGCTCTGGGCGGACAGCGTGATGAAGCGTCTGGTGCTGCGATGGGTCTGATTCCTGAATCACCAGCCATCAGGGGTCGCTTTGCGGGTTCCCAGGTGTGAGGCCGTCAGGACAGCACCCTGGAGAGATCTAGATTCCTGTGGAGCGCCTGGGCCCGCTCCGAGCTGTGCTGCAGGCCCACCGTGGAGCTGGGCCGTCGGCGCCACAAAGCCCGTGGTTCCCAGGATGCGGTTCTTACCGTGCAGTCCTGGAGATCGGAAGTATAAAAGGGGTGCTTGGGTGGCCCAGTGGGCCGAGTGTTGGACTCTTGATTTCGCCTCAGGTGGCGTGGTCCGGGCGGTGGAGTGGAGCCGTGCGCTGGGCTCTGCCCTGGTGTGCGGCTGCTCGAGACTCTCTTCCCGCCCCTTCTGCTTCTCTGTCCCATTTCTCTTTTTCTCTGAAATAAGTGTATGAGTCGTTAAATGCTTTACTTCTTAGTATAAAATGGGAGTTGTATTCCCCCAGCACCCCAGCGAGACCCGGCTTCTGCCCTTTCCTGGCCCGCGGGCCCCCCCCCCCTCCTCCCCACCAGCAGCGCGGGGTCTGCCCGTCTCCGGGACCCCCGCCCTCTGCCTCCCTCTCCTGAGGACCTGGTGAGGACACCAGGCCCCCGGGAACCAGGGTCACCCCCAGCTCAGGGTTCTTGACTTGCCCGTCCCTGCAAGGTCCTTTTTGCCATTTATGGTTCCATATTCTTGGGTTTTGGGGATTCGAATGGGGACAACTTTGTGAGGTCATATTCACTCCTGGGCCCCGTTCCTGTGGGCTGACCTCTACAGAGACAAGATACTATGGGTTTAAGCCAGGGGCCTGGAGCTGATTTTGGCCAAGTCAAGAGCGACAGTGTTCGGAGGCCAGAGAGAGGTTCCGGAGGTTAGGTCTGACCCGAGTCTGAGAGAACGAGGGAAGCACAGTGGTCAGCTGGAACCCGTCTGCTTTAGGTCCCGGGAGAGCCTGCCTTGGCCCCAAGGAGGCCTTGAATCTCTCTTGTGCACTCGTCGGAAGGTGCCGGTAGGTAAATGTATCAAGTTCACAGGTGAGCCACGGAGGTAGGATTTAGCTTGGCAGAAGTGAGCGTAGACGAGCAGGAGTTTGGAGGAGTGCGCACCGCGTTTGGGCGGTCCAGGAAGGCTTCCTGAAGGAGGTGAGACTTGGTGAGAAGACTTGGCCGCCTCCTCCCTGCTGCCACGCTGGGGCTCTGAGCACTGACACTTCTCGGGCTGCAGTGGTTTCCTCGCCAGTCCTCCCCCTCAGGCATTCATAGATGCACCGCCCGTCCTCCTGCGTCCTTATTCCGGGTTTGTGTGTCCCTGGGCCACCATGGGTCCTTTGTCTCCTGGAAGATACGTGGGGAAGAGGAAGCTGAGCCTTCTGCCGGGCCATGTCCTGCACTCTCACAGCCTCCCCTTTGGTCTTGCAGGTTCCTGTAGGGGTGCGTAAAGCCCAGCATCCTCACCATGGACTTCCAGCATCGCCCGGGGGGCAAGACGGGGAGCGGAGGCGTGGCCTCCTCCTCGGAGAGCAACCGAGACCGCAGGGAGCGCCTCCGGCAACTGGCCCTGGAGACCATCGACATCAACAAGGTGGGTTGAGCCTTGGGCAGCGGGCAGGCGGCTCCCCCTGGCTCCCTCGGGCTCGGGGCCCCTCCCCCCACCTCTGTCAGCAGAGCCAAGTTCCGTGCCCTTGGCCCTGCTTCCCAGCTTTCTTGGCCTTGGGGTCCTGATCTGCAGTCGAGGGAACTTGACCTAGAGCGGCTCCAGTTAGGCACCCCACAGACCACCTGCTGTTCCGGGGCTGTGACTGCACTAAGGGTTTGCTTTTGTCCGGCTTCCCAGAGCCAGGAGACCTGCCAGTGGCGAGGCCCGTGACAGCATCGTGGAGTTGGGGTGTTTGGGCAGTGAACCGCACAGGGCGACACCGCGCTTGGGCGTCCACAGCTGGGGGGGCCCGGAGTCTAGCCCCCGGCACTCTGGACATTTGGCACGCTGTTGGCAGCCGGGCAGGGTCCCAGTTGTGAGGGCCACAGCTGTGCCCAGACATCGCCCAGTGCGGCCTGGGGGCAGAGTTGCCCTGGGCGTGCCCCAGCAGCCAGTGTGTGGTTCCTCCCTGACCTGTGGAGAGCCCCGCCCCCAAGATCGGCTCTGTTACCGTCCTCCTGAGGAGACAAGGCAGGACCGTCCTCGTGGAAGATGACACGGCCCCTGGGCGGCGGAGTTAGGGTTCAAACCCCAAACCCCAGCTGGTCTGCTCCGTGCCTGGGGCCAGAAGTGCCTGCCCTGCGGCCTGTGTTCGTGGAAAGTCACGTGTCCGGCCTGGGAGCTCCCGCACACACAGACCAGGGTCTCCGTGGGCATCTGTTTTAACCCATGTGCTCTGTTCTTCCCACACCTGGCTTCTGTGGTGGTGCTTGGAATGCCAGCGCCCTTGGTGACAGATCTCTGTCCCAGCCGTGGAGGCAGCTGCCCAGTAGTGCTGTTTTGCCTCTGCTGTCATCCAGGCCCAGAACTGCCCCCAGAGGTGGGGCCGGGAACCAGCATGGTGGGCCCCCAGCCCTGCCACGTGGCCTGTGTCTGCGGGATCCCAGCTGGTCCCACAGCGCTGCCTCGGGCAGAAGACCCTGCGGGGCCCTGGGCTGCGCGCCGCCGCTAGTCCTCTGTCCTCGGGACGCCTGCCCAGGAGGAGAGGAGCCGCCCTCTCTGCCGGCCGGACAGGGGGGAGGCTTCGGCTCTTCACCACGGCGGGGACCGCGGGGCACGATTGCTGACAGCGGGTCTCCCCCTGCAGGACCCGTACTTCATGAAGAACCATCTGGGCTCGTACGAGTGCAAGCTGTGTCTGACCCTGCACAACAACGAGGTGCGTCTCCGTGCCTTCTCCGCTCGGGTGGGGCCCTGCTGCTCCCCCGCCCCAGCCCTGTCCCGGTGCTGCCCGTCCAGGCTCCGGCAGGACCCGCCGCTCCCATCCCTGTCCCACCGCGCTGCCCCTGTTAGGTCTGGGACGTCATTCAGAGCGTGGTGGGGGCGGTGGGGCTTAGGTCTGCTTGCTCACCGATCTGTGCCCCCAGAGCCCGCCTCCGCCCAGGGCGTACAGGGCTGCGTCCGGCCCACGTATCTTGAACGCCGTCTGGGATCCCCGTGAGCGCCAGCCTACAGGCGCGGCAGGCGTCACCCCAGACGCTCCAGATCCAGGTGTCGAGGACTCGTTGGCGTGGGTGCAGCTCGCTTCTTTGAGCGACCCTGAGGTCCTCCCAGTGATGGTCTAACAAGTGCTCACGGGGCCCTGATTCAGTAACGGATGATGTGGTTCGTCCTTCTTCCCGCTGTCCCACGTCCTAGCGGCTTTTCAGTTGTGCATCAGCAGTGCTGAGCGGGCCAGTCGCGCACGTCAGCGTCTGTCCCCCTGGGCGCAGCTCCCTCAGAGCCGGGCCGTTCTCTGGGGGTTGCTGAGCAGCGTCCCCCAGTCATGATAACCACAGACGTCTCCAGTTGTGGCCCAGTGTCCCTGTGTTGGTCCAGAAACCTTTAGAGTCCATCCTGCTCTCTGGGGAGGGGTGCCCCGGACTGTGGTCAGAACGGACGCACAGGGTCACGGGACAAGTTCACTTGTCCACGACTGGTGCCTGGTGCTCTCCTCCTCCGGCCAGGCCCACTGAGCCCCCCCACCAAGGCAGGCAGCGAGACTTGCCATGACCCACAGGCCGTGACCTCTGACGCTCACAGACTTCCTCTCAGGCTCTGTGTGCGCTTCCTTCCACGCGGGGTAAGCCCCGAGAGCTTGTCTGTTCCATGGCAGCCGGTGGACGGAGGCCGGCGGCTCCTCTCGGCCCACCCCACGTGCCTTGTCCTGAGTCGTCCATGTGCTTTTCCCGCTGCAGGGGAGCTACCTGGCGCACACCCAGGGGAAGAAGCATCAGACCAACCTGTGAGTGCCCCAGACCCCTTCCAGTGCCCGGGGCTGCTGGGGGGATGCCAGGGGAGTGGGAGCAGCTCTGTCCACAGCAGTTGAGCTGACTGAGCTTGCTTGAGCATGAGGCTTCCGGGACACAAGAGGAAAGCAGCGAGGGTTTGCGGAAGACGCCCTAGTAAGGGGCAGTGGGAAATGTGACGAGAAGAGAGGGTGCCCCGGGCCTGTCCCGTCCCCACTTCATGGAACCCCAGGACCCCCAGCCAGCACCCCATGCCCCTGGCCTCTCAGACAAACTCCAAGGTCAGTGTGGGAGTTGGACGACTCCCAGCACTTGGGCCTGTGACCTTGGTGGCCTGTGCAGAGGGTCACAGCACCATATCCATCCCACCTGCAGGGCCCGGCGAGCCGCCAAGGAGGCTAAGGAGGCCCCCGCCCAGCCAGCGCCAGAGAAGGTCAAGGTGGAGGTGAAGAAGTTTGTGAAGATCGGCCGCCCCGGCTACAAAGGTCATTCTGTCCGCGTGCGCTCTGGCCTGCAGCTGGCACTGGGCGTGAATGAGCCCCTGGCCCCAGCCCCCAGCCCGTCCTTGAGCCCCACGGAGACTGCCGCTCTCTTCGGAGCAGGGCCCTCCCTCACCTCCCTCTCCCTCTGGTCCACTGGCACCGTGAGCCCCACCTTTCCTGAGAGCTTTCTCAGAGCACCGGGTCACAGTGTCAGGGCTTCCCTTGGCTTCTGCTGGCCTTTGGGGAGCCGGTGATTGTTTACAGTGCTTGTGGGGATGGGTGGCCGTGGACGAGGGGCCCATGGGTCCCTTTTCTTTGACCTTGGGAGGGGGAGGGTCCACATTAAGAAAGCGCTCACACAGTGGACCGTTTGGGCGGAGAGGAGGGTTCCTGGTTCGCCTGCCGGGACATTGGTGAAGCGTTGGGTGGGGAGGCAGGGGACTGTGTCCCGGGAGGTAGGAGGGAAGAGACGAAAAGCTCTCAGGCAGGCGTCTCGAGTAAAAGTGGAAACCGTGTGGGTGACGGGCATTCCAGGTAGGACACAGCAGTGCAAAGGCCTGGGGGCAGGTCTGCGTCATAAGCTAAGGCCAGAATGACAGAATTCTTGGCGGGGGGGGGGGGGGGGGGCTACCAAAAGTCTTTCGGCCATAATAGGGCATCTGGTGTCCTGAGTGAAGCAGGGACAGTCGAGGGCTCAAGGGGCGTGAGTGTGGTGTGCCTCAGAGCTGTATGGAGAGCAACCTGGAGGTGGGGACATGGCCCTCTCGTGCAGAGGGCACCCTCCCAGCAGCCAGGATACAGACCTCACTGGCCGCTCGTGCACAGCGTGCCCAGTCTGGAGCTCCTGCTCGTGCCATCCCGGGCTCCTGCCCACACCTCTCCCTGTGGTCTCGGGCAGGGACCCTCCTGGCTCTGGGCAGTAGCCACCCAAGTACGGGTTCCCCAGTGTCCTATCCCCCGTCCGTGGGTTACTCCGCTGGTGCCTTGGCTTTGGGTAGGACAAGGTGGCCTGAACTTGAGAGCCTTGTGTGTTGCAGTGACCAAGCAGAGGGACACGGAGATGGGCCAGCAGAGCCTCCTCTTCCAGGTGAGCTGAAGCCTGAGCCCCGTCGTGGGGGGCGGGTCCCTTGCAGGACGGTGCTACCACCTGCTGTGTCCCCGCAGATCGACTACCCTGAGATTGCCGAGGGCGTCACGCCTCGCCACCGCTTCATGTCCGCCTACGAGCAGAGGATCGAGCCGCCCGACCGGCGCTGGCAGTACCTGCTCATGGCCGCCGAGCCCTACGAGACCATCGCCTTCAAGGTGGTGCATGTGGGGTCCCCCAGCCCTCCTGCCCGCACCCCGGGTGCCCCTTAGGCACACGCTTGCCTGGGAAGGGTGGGAGAGGACATGGGGGTCGGGAGCTGGGCGTCCTGAGGTCGGGTGCTCCTGGCATTAAGAGGCTCTCGTGGCCAGGCTGCTCAGGGATCCCATAACCTGATCCCGTAACTTCGGCCACACAGACAAGAGCACGAGCCGCTCCTTCCCCAGGGCGGCAGCCTCGCTAAGTAGTGCGGCTAGTCTTTTACCCCAAAACCAAATCGTGTCCCGATTGGGCCTTTTCTGGGCCAAGGGGCAAGTCCCTGCAGGCCTGGATGTGTCAGCTGCGGTGGTCCGAAGGCCCCCCTCTGCCCCCTCCCGACGCAGGTGCCGAGCAGGGAGATCGATAAGGCCGAAGGCAAGTTCTGGACTCACTGGAATCGGGAAACCAAGCAGGTGAGCCACTCTGGGGCCTTTGATGGCTGCCCTGGCCAGCTTGTCCCTTCACCCAGGGCCCCGAAGGCCTCACTCAGCCTCTTCCGTTTCCCTCCAGTTTTTCCTGCAGTTCCACTTCAAGATGGAGAAGCCGCCAGCCCCGCCCAGCCTACCTGCAGGGCCACCCGGAGTGAAGAGACCCCCGCCCCCCCTGATGAATGGTCTGCCCCCACGGCCGCCGCTGCCAGAGGCTTTGCCCCCACCACCGCCAGGAGGCCTGCCTCTGCCACCCATGCCGCCCAGCGGGCCTGCACCCTCGGGGCCTCCGGGCCCTCCCCAGCTGCCCCCACCAGCTCCTGGGGTCCACCCCCCAGCACCAGGGGTCCACCCCCCAACGTCTGGGGTCCACCCCCCGGCACCAGGAGTTCACCCCCCAGCTCCTGGGGTCCATCCCCCGGCACCGGTGGTCCACCCACCGACATCTGGGGTCCACCCACCGGCTCCAGGCGTCCACCCTCCAGCCCCAGGGGTCCACCCTCCTGCTCCAGGCGTCCATCCTCCCCCATCTGCTGGAGTTCACCCCCAGGCCCCAGGGGTGCATCCGCCGGCCCCTACGGTGCACCCCCAGGCCCCTGGGGTCCACCCCCAGGCCCCTGGGGTCCACCCACCAGCCCCAGGGATCCACCCCCAGCCTCCTGGGGTCCACCCCCCGCCTCCTGGGGTCCACCCATCAGCTCCTGGGGTCCATCCTCCAGCTCCTGGGGTCCACCCCCAGCCTCCTGGAGTTCACCCCTCAAATCCTGGGGTCCATCCCCCCACTCCCATGCCCCCCATGCTGAGGCCTCCCCTGCCCTCCGAAGGCCCTGGGAACATTCCGCCCCCTCCCCCAGCCAACTGAAGAGTGGCCCCTTTTCCAGGCCAGTCCCGTGTGGTGTGTTCTTGTGTTCTCTGTCGGAGCGGAGTGTGGTCCTCTTGTACGGCCCATGTCGCGTCCTCACTGCTCATTAAACGTCTGCCCCGATGCCCGGACTGGACTGCTGTGTCGGCAGCTGGGGGGCCATGGCGCAGAGGCCGCTCGGGTTTGGGGCGTTAGCGTCCTTGTCTTGGTGTCACTGTACCCCATGGGACGCTGCTAGGTGAGGGCAGGCCCAGCCAACAGCGGGCCTGGGATCTCTTGTGAGGAGGGGAGCGCTGCAGCTGCTCGCTCTCCCACAGTGTGACCGAGCACTTGGGGAGCCCCAGCTGAGCCGGGGGACCACCCACTGCCCAGGCCCACCTGCCCAGTAGTCTGAACACCCAAGACACAGGGTCCCCAGAAGAATCTACTGCCCGGTCCTCTGGGACATCACTCTCTGCCCTGGTCCAGGCCTGCCCTCCCCCTGTCCCCAGATCCCCAGAGCTGCTGATAGTCTGGGCCAACACCCCCTGCTCCTGATCCCACTCCCGCCACGGGGGGGGGGGGGGACGCTCCTCAAGGACAGACGTAGGACAAGTCGGTCACAGGCTGCGCCTCCTATCAGCGTGAGGAGACAGGCAGTGTGGCCCGAACAGAGGAGGCTTTGAGAGCTTCCCGGCCTGCCCTGGCCCATGCTGGGGCGCCAAGCACTGGTCCCCAAGGTCACAGCCCAGGAGGAGATAGAGGCCCGTCTCCCGCACAAACAGCCTGGCCTCGCGCATATAAGCCAGAGCCACCGAGCCCCTCCCGGCAGCCAGGATGTGGGCTCTGCTGCTCCGGCTGCTGGCCCTGGCCCTGTGGGTGATGGGGCCCCCGTGGGGAGCCGGGGCCCCCGCCTCGCCCGGAGAGCCAGGCACGGGCACAGGGGGGCTCGTCTTCCATCAAGACTGGGACTGGCTGCCAGGGAGCCCACAAGACCCCCTGTGCCTGGTGACCCTGGACCAGAGCAGCAACCGGAGCGGCACCCCACTTCGGGTGGTGGGGGCCCTGAGAGGCTACGAGCACGCCTTCCTCGAGGCCGTGCAGCAGGCACACTGGGGTTCCCGCGACCTGGCCATGTTCGGGGTCTGCCCCGCCAGTGTGGGGCAGCCCGCACTGCTCCCTCTGCGGCAGCTGCAGGCATGGCTGGGGGAGCCCGGGGGGCGGCGGCTGGCAGTGCTGCACCTGGAGGAAGGTACGTGGGGGGCCGTGGCCTGCCGCTGAGCGGGGGGATCTGTCCCTGGTCTCCTGAGAAGGGAGACGTCCACACCAGACCCCTCCCCAGCTTCCCCCATGGCCCAGAGGTGGGTACCCTTGGGCTCCTGTGGAGCTCTAAATCCCCAGACCTGGGCTCCTGGACCCGCCCCTTCCCGCCCTTCCCAGGGAAAGAGCCCAGCGGAGGGGGCTGGTCCAGCCAAGGCGGCCCTGCTGTGAGAGCTGGCCTGTCCCTGGGAGCCACTGGCCTCAGAGCCACTGGAGGAATGGGCTGCCCCCAACGAGAGCCCCAGGTGGAGACCCCAGGGAGCCCAGCGCGAGCAGCCTCACCACTCCCCACCCCCTACCACTCATTCCTCTGGGCGACCCAAGCTGGGGTGTCAGACCTCTCCCGCCAGGTCCCCAAGGCTCCCAGTTGGGCCAGGGGCTCTCCCTGCAGGAACGCAGGACGGGTGTGGGGAGGGGACTGGCTCCAGGGCCTCAGGTGTCGTCCCCTCCCTGTCTGTCCTGGCCACAGTGAGCTGGGAGCCAGCAGTCACGCTGAAGTTCCAGGTGCCCCCGCCCGGAGGAGCCGGTGCCCTGGAGCTGGCGCTGCTGGTGCTATACCCCGGGCCTGGTCCTGAGGTCACTGTCACGGGGACCAGGCTGCCAGGCACCCAGGTACCAGGGCACCCAGTGGGGCAGTTCCTGGGCCTCCAGGAGCCCTCGCCCAGCAGAGGAGAGGGTATGGAGGTGGTGGGTTCAGTTTTTATTTTTAAGATTTTATTTACTTGTTTATTGGGGGGAGAAGAGGGAGAAGCAGGCTCTCCGCAGAGCAGGTAGCAGGATGCGGGGCTCCATGCTGGGACCCTGGGATCATGACCTGAAGCGGAAGGCAGACGCTTCACCAATGGAGCCACCCAGGTGTCCCGGGAATGGGGTTTTTAAGCTGTGCTGAACAAGGTTCCGAGTGTCCTAGGTGGGCAGCGGGCACAGCAGGGCTGGCACCCTCGCCCCAGCCAGCTGGGCTGAGCCCCCATCTCCACAGAACCTTTGTTGGTCCCGGGACACGCGCTACCTGCTGCTGGCTGTGGAACGCCCAGCGGGGGCCTGGCACAGCCCTGGAGTCACCCTGATCCTGCAACCCCGAGGAGACGGTAGGCTCTCAAAGAAGGGGAGCTGGCAAGGTTGGGCTGCCCTAGTTCCTCAAACGCTGAGCCACCCCGGGGTCTCGCCAGGCCTTCCAGGTCCCCCCCTGAGCACCGCCCAGCTGCAGGAGCTGCTGTTCGGCCGGGACCCCCGCTGCTTCACGCGGATGACCCCGGTCCTGCTCCTGCTGCCACTGCCCGGGCCCACTCCAATGCCCGCGCGCGGCCTTCTGGACCAAGTGCCCTTCCCGCCACCCTGGTGTGTGCAGGTCCAGCCGGGAACTGGGGGGTGGCGGGTATGGGAAGAACCTCGCACCTGCTCACACCTCCCAGCTCCGCCTTCCAGGCCCTCTCAGGAGCAGGAGCCCACGGAGCCGCGGTCCAGCGCAGACCCCTTCCTGGAGACGCTCACGCGCCTGGTGCGCGCCCTGCGGGGGCCGCCAGCCCAGGCCTCGCCGCCGCGCCTGGCCCTGGACCCGGGCGCGCTGGCCGGCTTCGCGCAGGGCCTCGTCAACCTGTCGGACCCCGCGACCCAGGAGCGCCTGCTCGACGGCGAGGAGCCGCTGCTGCTGCTGCTGCCGCCTCCCGCCACGGCCACGGCTGGGGAGGCCGCGCCGCTTAGGGGCCCTGAGTCCGGGCCCTGGGCCGCGGGCCTAACGCACCGTGTGGCCGCCGAGCTGCGGGCCGCCGCTGCCGAGCTGCGCGGGCTCCCGGGCCTGCCCCCCGCCGCCACGCCGCTGCTGGGGCGCCTGCTCGAGCTCTGCCCCGGGGTCCCGGGGGGTTCAGGTGGCCCCGGCGGTCCGGGCGGCCCGCTGCGCGCGCTGCTGCTGCTCAAGGCGCTGCAGGGTCTGCGCGCCGAGTGGCGGGGGCGCGAGCGGAGCGGGGCGCTGCGGGCGCAGCGCAGCGCGGGGGCCGAGGCGGCGGACGGGCCGTGCGCGCTGCGCGAGCTGAGCGTGGACCTGCGCGCCGAGCGCTCCGTGCTCATCCCCGAGACGTACCAGGCCAACAACTGCCAGGGCGCGTGCGGCTGGCCGCAGTCCGACCGCAACCCGCGCTACGGCAACCACGTGGTGCTGCTGCTGAAGATGCAGGCCCGCGGCGCCGCCCTGGCGCGCCCGCCCTGCTGCGTGCCCACCGCCTACGCCGGCAAGCTGCTCATCGGCCTGTCGGAGGAGCGCATCAGCGCGCACCACGTGCCCAACATGGTGGCCACGGAGTGCGGCTGCCGGTGACCCCCAGGCGGCCCCGGGGCGCCCGCCCATGTCTGCTCAGACCCCCATCCCCACCCCAATAAAGACCAGCGAGCACCAGCTGGTGTGTACGTGCGTCTGGGCACAGGCGGGGGTCTCCACCTGGCCGCTCTCAGCGCGGACGGAAGCGTCATCCCGGTGCCCTCGGCCTCCACTCCCGCCCCTACCCCGCCCCCACCCCCCCGCTGGAGGGCCTCCCTTCTCTGCCCTTCAGGCCCAGGCTGCCCCCGTCAAAGGAGCCAGCGACCCTGGGACTGCAGCTTTCAATTTATTTCGCTGAACCTCGGGGCCACGCACAGCGAGGGGGGCGGTTCAGAGTATTGGGTCCCAGGACCCATGCCTGGCTCAGTCCCGCCCCTTGCCCGCCCGGTGCTTCTGGCGGCCTGGAGGCCGGTCCTCGTCGGGGCGCTGCAGGGAGTTCCAGGCCTGTCTCCTTTTCTGTCCCGGGTCTCGGGAGTCCTGCGCCCAGTGTCGGTGGCCCCCTTTGCGCACCTCCCAGCGCCGGGGTAGGGCTCCTCGGGGTTCCCTGGCGGCCCGTGGCTTCTCCTGCTTCGGAGGCCGCTCCTCCTTCCGCGGCTTCTCCTTCTGCGGCCGCTCCTCCCTCCGCGGCCTCTCCTTGCGAGGCCTCTCCTTCCGCGGAGGCTCCTTGGGCCCGCGCTTCTCCCCAGCAGCGCTGTCCGCACCCTCCCGTCTTCTGGGAACCTCAGCCTCTTCCTTCTTCGCCGCCTCCTCCTCCTCTGCCTGGGGTGCCGGCGGTCCTAATGGGGGCGCCCAGGCCTTGGGCTTCGGCTGCAGCTGCCAGGCGGGTGGTGCCAGTTGCTGGGGTCAGCGCACACCTGCCCAGCGCGGGATCAAGGCACCTTCCCCCCGCCGCCCATGGTCACTTAATGGAAGCGCTTACCTGGGCTGCTGCTGGCTCCGGGGCTGAGCTGGGCGGTACCCATGGCTCAGGGACAGGTGCAGGGACGTCTGCTTCCCCAGCCACAGCATCTTGGAGGGGAGGGGAGTCAGCCCAGGTGGGGAGGGGGGAGCTGCAGATCAAACCCACCGCCCAGCCCTCCACCCTGGAGTCCTGTCTCCCCTCCCTCCAAGCCTTCAGGAGGAAGGCTCCTGACCTCCGGGGCTGTGGCGCCCCCTTTCCTCCACATCTCCCTCGTGCCAGTTGCAAAAGGGCAGGCCCCGTTTCTCTGTGGGCTGTGGGAGCTCCCTGGCACATACCACCCAAAGGTGGCTCATAGGGCCAGTCCTGGGGGGCAAGGCCCATGAGGAGTGAGGACCTGCTCACTCACGGAGGAGACAGGTGTGCCGAGATACAATCTGGGAGAGGAAGGGCCCCCGGAGAAGGTCCCCGATGGGGGACGGGGGAGGAGGCACTTTCTCCCCAAGCCGGCACAGAGGGAGGGCACGCAAGGTCAGTGGCTGAACGGGGGTGCACAGGGTGGGGCGCTTGGGGGACCGAGGACCCCTCGCAGAGACCATGCCAGGGAGAAGGGGACCAGCCGGGGGGAGCCAGGTATAGAAGACCACCCCTCCAGGGGAGGTACCAGCCCAACCATTGGGGGGCACGTGAGCTTCCCTGGGAGGGCCTGCGCCCAGGCTCACCGCGGCACAGCTGGAAGGCTGACCCCAGCAGCGCCACGAATGAGGCCAGCACCAGACACTTGTTGAGGGACAGGTCTCCGCAGGGCAGCTCGTCACTCAGGGCCGGAGCCGGGGGTGGCGGTAGCCGCTGCGGGGGCGGCGAGGCCTGTGCCTTCCTGCGCACGGGGCTCCGGGGCGCTGTGGGGAGCATGGGGTGGGCTGGGCGCGGCCCCATGGGGCTCTGCCCTCCCTGCCTGCAGCCCTGGGCGGGGGATAAAGCCGTGCGTGCTTCAGAGCCTCACTGGGATGTGGGGGACGCTCTAGAAAGTGCCGGCTGAAGCCCAGAAGCGCCTCACGTTGTGTCATCACGAATTCGCGAGGCTTCCAGCCCTGTTAGTTACGGCTGGTGACATGGGACAGAAGCCAGCCAGCAGCCCCACTGCACCCTGTTCCCCTCCCCCTAGATCCAAGGACCCAGCCTGGGGCCTGCCCCACCCCCGCTTGCTGGGCCATACCCACTCCCCCACCTCACCCCTGCCATCTGCAAACCTACTTGCTCCTGCTTTCAGCCTCTCTTTCCCGGATCCTGGGGCCACTTTGGCCACAGGCTCCTTTTCTGTCTTCTTAGGCCTGGCATCCACACTGCCTGGAGGGCTGCCCTCAGCTTGAGAAACCTATGAGAAGTCATGAGTGGCCCGGGCTGTTTCTTCCCCTTCTTTCCTCCAAGGGAACCCGAACCCTTCCCATGGGCCGGAGAGAGCCACCCCTCTGGGCAGCGTGTCCCTGTCTCCAGGGACATCCCAGGCAGTAACCCCAGGGCCCTGGCTACTCACATGGGGCCAGCTGCTAGCGTCGGCCAGCCTGGGCGTCGCTATTGGAGGAAAAGAAAGAGAGTCAAGGTTGTGAGAGCCCCCCAGGCCCATCCCACCCCCTGCGGGGCTCTGCTGGGCCAGGGGTGGGGGATCCCTCCCATTCTACAGATTAGAAAGCAAATGGGCTCAGAGGCAGTCCTGCCCAAAGGCACATGGCATTTCGCTGGCAAGCTAGGATTTGAATCCTGCCCTGCGAGGCCTATGACCTGTATCTCTGGGGCTCCTTATATATCCCCGAAGGCACGAATGGACACGGGTTGGAAACAAGGAGCAGAGTTGGAGCCAGCCCAATGTGGGAGTCTTAGTCCTGGGTCTGCCAGCGAGCCACCCGGCTCAGCAGGTGGACAGGGGCGGGGCTCCGTCCTGCCTGAGACCCTGCGAGTACCTCGAGCCCTGTCCTCCTGGGGCTGCTCAGGGCAGGGGTCGGCCAGCGTGGAAAGGTCCTCGCCTTGGCAGCTGCCCAGGCCTCCATCCAGCTCCTGCAGGGCCCTGGTCGTCATGGAGACGTCTGAGCCCCTGGGATCCTTGGGAGTTGGGGGGCAGCGGCTGGAGAGGAGGTGTCTTGCTTCAGACGTGTCTTGCACTGGCTGAGCCCCTGCTGTGGGCTAGGCCTGACCTGGGGGCACCCCTTGTACGTAAATGAAGGGGCCCCTGCCTTTCAGCTCAGCCCTTGCCCGTCCTTCCACCTGGAACCTCCTTCAAGGGCAGATTCACCGTGGGGTGGGCGTGGCCCAGCGCCCCCCCACCCCGCGTCCCCTCCCTGTGCTGGGACCCCTCCCTGAGGATGCCGAGGCTGCTGGGGTCCTGAGAGGGATGGGACCCACCCAAGGTCACACACAGATGAGCAAAGATGGCCCAGATCAGAACCCTTGGCCCCAGGGTCGGCTCAGGTTCTCTGAGACCAGACACTATTTTTACCCAGCGCCGGAGGCCAGGGGAACAGGCCGTAGTGCCTCCCGGCCCCTCCCGGACTTTTCGCCCCTGGGTCTCTGAACCGTCCTGGCCGGCCGTTCCTGGCACCCCAGCCCCCGGCCCCTAAATCTAGAAGCTCAGGCTGTAGCCCCCTCCCCCCCCGACGGGCCTCACTCCAGCCACGACAGGCAGGGGCCAGGGCCCCCAGGGGCTTCCTGATCCCAGCACTGGGGCCCCAGCCTCCTCCCACGACTCCCACTCCCATAGGACAAATGGGGAAACTGAGTCTCCAGAGAGAGCTATCCGCCAGAGGTCGTAGGCAGCCTGTGGTCAAACCCAGCTGAGCCGGCCCCCACAGCCCTGTTTTGGGGCCCCCGTGCCCCTGGCTGCCAGTGTTAGCGTGTTCTGCCGTCTCTGGTCAGAAGAGTGACCCTTCCCCTGGGGCCGGAGCAGGCCACTGAGCGAGGGGCCCGAACGGGCAGCGGGCCAGTGCCCTTAGGCATGTAGGGGGGCAGTCGCAAGAGCTGGGGGTCCCCGTGGACCTCAGAGATGCCCTCCCCAGACACAAGGGACCGTTCCCCTGCCCAGGCCTCCCCCTGCCCCACTTACTCCACAGCCGCCACAGTGAGCCCGCTGGACAGATGGAGCCTGGGGAGCGTGGCCCCAAGACAGACGATGACAGGTGTGCGGAGGCAGGGCGGTGGCGGGAAGGGGAGGAGGGCGGCGGGGGATGGTGGCTGGGGAGGCCTCCACCCTTGCCGCAGGACTGAGCCTTGGCCAGAGGGTGACCCCACCCCCACTCCAGCACAGAGCCACTGCCCCGCCGGCCACGGTGGCCTGGGCGGCTCGCTTCCTGTCCCTGAGCCTCAGAGAAGCAAGTCCTGGAGGTGGGGACAGCACAAAGGGTCACCTTGCTTTCACCCTCAAATCCCGTCAGCCAACCTATGAGCTACGAAGGCTGAGTCGGGCTCCCCTGTGGTGAAGCCAACGGGGTACAAGCTCCCAGAGCAGCCAGGGGTGGCCCGTGGGACCCGGAGCCTGAGGGAGGGTCCCATGGGAGAGGCCTGTTTCCTCATCTAGAACCAGAATTCAAGACCACTCCATAGCCACCAGCACGGCTGTGCTGCTCCGGAACATTCCGGAACCCGGAAAACAACCCCCTCCCCTTTCACTAACCCCTCCCCCAGGTCCCCCCAGCCCCCGGCCCCCATGAAGCTCCCTTCACGTCTGTGGAGGAGCCTGGTCTGGACGTGTCACACGCGTGGACTCACACCCCGTGTGGCCTCCTGTGTCTGGTTCCCTGAGTGTCATGGGCTCGGGGTCCATCTCTGGGGCCGAGAGTGGGGGCCTCAGTCCTGCCCGCAGCTAAGGGACGCTCCCACACGCGGGGGACACGCTGTGTTATCTGTTCCTTGGCATCCAATAGGGCTGGAAGCAGTGGGGGGTAGTGGGGGCAATGCCCCTCAAGCCCAGTGTCAGATCTTGTCTTTAGAAAATATAAAATGTGGGGCACCTGGGTGGCTCAGTGGGTTAAGCCTCTGCCTTTGGCTCAGGTCATGATCCCAGGGTCTTGGGATCGAGCCCCACATCAAGCTCCCTGCTCAGCAGGAAGCCTGCTTCTCTCTCTCCCGCCCCCCACTGCTTGTGTTCCCTCTCTCGCTGTG